ATTATTTGTGTTGATGGTTTGCTTCTTTAGCATCTGCTACAGACTGCTCGACTTGCCTAAGGCGATTCTCTACCTCATCGATCAGCTCGTACTTGACTCGCCAGTCCATCTCTATACAGCTGGCTAAGTCGGCACGACTGCTCGCTGGTATGCCATTTGACGGATTGGGCTTCTCATTTTGTGCCAACGATAGTCTGCTCGGTGAAGAGGTGGAGAATGAGGAGGCGGAGGTGGAGGTGGAGGATGAAGATGCACGGTAGCTGGTAGGGGCGCACAAAAGCGTCAGTGACTGTGGAAAGGCAGACTAAAATGGTGGTGAAAAGATTGACGAATGCGGCAACACTGCAATACCAAGAGGAAGTCCTTGCATCTGTCAATGACTCACCTAACCACGTAGTCACTCAGCGAGTCTGTTTCAATTCAGGTCTTCCAAGTTCACTTCTCTCGCCCTATGTCTATAATCGCAGATCGCGTTCTTCTCTCCATCTTCATCCTCCTATTCTTTGCATACAATGTATTTTCAGTCTCCCTTGGACGCATGCTTGCCATCCTCTTACCTTTCACTGTCCTCAGTTATGGCATTTCCATATGCTCCTACGTCATTTTGGAATCTGTAAAATCCGGCACAAGCCATCGATGTAGAGACAAAGCATAAGGCGTGGAAGGGCGCTCGATCACTACCACCATCATGGGGAGGAAATAGCTGGAAAAATCAAATAACATTTTAACAAATATGATCTTGCTACGTACCCTCTCGTTGAGTTGTTTTGTGTCCCTAGCTTAGGCCTTTGATTGGAAGTAACAATTATGGACTGAATGCACCACTCATTTCATTGGCTATGGTGGTTTGGGTGGATACACAGCTGCGGTTTCATAATTAAATTTTGACGTGCACTCCAAATGCCATAAGGCGGTCTTTTTGTTGCACCCGAAAAGTTACGCTGCAAATGGGTCATTTGATCGTAAGGCTTTGCATTTGTGCTTCTGAAGTCTGCTCCGACATTTGTCCAACAGATGCAGGAGGACGCCGAAGCTTGACGAAGGAATAAGAAGTTTTATAGCTCTCCTCCTCTCCCTCCTTCACTTTTTGCACCTCACGTGAGTTCCTCATTTCTTTCCCCTAGTAACAACTGTATTTTGCTTTGACTTTGATAAGAATAGTCTGGATGCTTCTCTTTGCTGGGTTAGTTTAGTTTGTGCACTGAATGTCAATCGTTAGGTGAGGTGAGTCAGTTGCAAAGAACGTTGGTTGTGTGTGTGTGTGTGCCACTGGGTAAGGAGTCGCGTCAACAGCGTGGTTGTGGCCGTTCGATGGGATAGAACAACAGCAGGTTATTAAATGTACCTTGCAGGGTCATAATCTATCGTAATTGAAAATTATTTGGCACATTACGCAAGCGCGAGTTGACGGGTCCTCGTCGCGTCCACCGGCTCGCTTAGAGATGAACGAGGACACAGGAAATGTTGCAGCCGACGCATTTGCGGTTTCGCACTGCCCAACGCTGCCTTCAACTCATCGTTGTTTAACTAAATTTGTCCCATTATTTGTGAAGGATATGAAGTGTCGCGAATTATTAACTTTAATTGGGGTTATTACTTAAACAACGAAACGACTCAGTGTTTCTGCCCACGGCAATGTAGCTTCAAAGTAACTACGTAGTGCCCCTAAAGTTGTTATCGCCATCTCTTGGAATGAATTCGCACGAAAGTGTAGTCCCGTTTGAGGAAGCATTGCCCTCATTTCTGCGCATTCTGCAATTTCGAGTCGGATTCACTAACGGTGGCAGCCCTCGTCGCCTCAGCCTGGACGTAATCACTAGGCCAAATGTATTTTGAGGGCCGCATGACATGCTTGCATGTATTCCGTACTCACGCATGCTTCCATGGCACCCGAGAAATGCCGACATTTAAGTGGAAGGCCCTTAAAACAGCACCAATCATGAAGAACATACTTCTCCCTGATGCACACTGGTAAAATGCGCACATTGTGGAGAACAGGAGGACACAAATAACAGTGAGGCAGGTGAAAATGACTGGCACAACTGCCAAATAATGACCGCAACCACCCTGCAGCACCTTCCTCGAGTGAAGAGAGCATTTAGTTACGGGACAATGGTGAGGCATAAGGCAAGTAAGCAGCTTTACGCGAGACGACGAATTCCAAAATTATTCATACGTGCATTGAATCAAAGGCCAGACATGTTAAGACAAATTAACAGTCGCGAATAAACAAACGAAGTGGCCCTTACAAGTTCATGCAATGGTATTGCGATAGAGGCGGCTGAAGCAGGAGGTCCAATGATGTGATGCGAATCGGCGCAAGCATGTGGTTTTCGGTAAACATAGCCGAACTGAAGACATTTGTTGGGTTGGTGAGATGCGATGCTTGTGGCCAGCCGCTTCTTGCCTTTTCGTGACTGTCAGGTTGCGTTGAGGCACCTTCGGTGTCATTGATCTAGCGAGGTGATGGAAGGCATCGTGAACTGGTTCCTCAGACTAACGAATGCGTGCAAAGATACACTTGATGGAGGATCTCTTTTGAAATCTTGCACCACATATTGCAATACCTTTGAGATACATTGTTTATGGGACAACTTGATGTCTGGTGGTTGCTTTGGAATTCGTCCGGTCCTTGTACGCGTGGACTGCCTTCAGGCCAAGTTGAGGCGTAATCTCTTTTCTCCCCCTAGAATGCGCGTATTCAGCTGAACTGAATGCCTCCTCCTGCCAGGTGGGAAGTCTCGGGACGTTACAACCTTGTTAATGCGACCACTT